TGTCTTTTCGTAGAACCAGCGATCTTCGAGCCTGACTTTGTTTTACTTGAAACCTAATAAATGTAAGAAATTGATAGCGACAGGCGTTTGAGCAAATGAAAGAAAATCGAAAAAATGACGAGAAATACAAACCATCTTTCGATTTTTTGTCTACCCCATTCTCTCGGAGCGATTGTCATTAAACGGATTTTTTCATTGGCATCGCTTTCGACGAACAATTTTTTCAAACCATCCAAAAACTCGTTCGATTCAGATATTCTAAGTTCGTGAGGATTTGGATCATGTGAAGCTTGAGTGACCCCTTCCAGTACATCACGCCACTGTTGAAGCTTTCGATAGACTTCATCAACTTTAACTCGGATAGGAAATACTGTCGATCTAAATACGAGAATCGTTTCAGAAGATTAGCAGTAAATTTGCGACGTACTTATCATGAATTGACTCTATTTTTAATAATTCAAATACAGCCACCAATTGTTTCACCGCTTTGCTTTTCTGATATTCGTGTTCATATAAAACATCGCCTTCTTCTTCACCCATTGATTCACAATCGGTCGATCTTTCATCCATATGCAGTGAGTGATGATCATTCTCTTTCGACTCATTCATAAAACCACTATCCATCCGAACATTATCTTCTTCTTCTTCAGTTAATTGTTCGGTAGCATGATCATCGTCCTTTGTACTACAATTGTCGAGGATCTCTGTCATCATCGCATCATCATCATCGCCATCGCCATCATCACTCTAAACTTCATTGTCTTTCATCTGCACTGTTTGATAAGCCGTCATTTCCTTCGATTCAACAACATGGCATCTTGGACATAACCACCGCGTTCGGCTCTCCGTCATATTATACCGAGAACCCAAAAACTTAGATAGCTGTAACGATACGGCTATTGTTCCTTTTGGTACACGAGTAGAATTTGCATGTTTTTCCGGATGTTCACAACACTTTCGTTTCGGCATTAGGAAAAGATTTAAAAAAAAAAGAAAAGTACTGGTGGACAATTTTCTCTCTCGTATCCGATGAATCATGTTGAAATAACATCCGTTCGAAATCTCGTAGCTTGTACAAAAGACGTCACGTCTAAAGATAGCCTCACAATTCATTCTAAAACTCGTCTTTTTCATATTGCTCTATTCTTCCAAATTATCATCTTCCATATTCATCACTGTATAGCGGTGTTTCCTCCCCTTTNGAAAGATATATACGTATAATGCGGTGAGTTTTAATTATTTAATCAAGCTATTCAATCAAGAATGATAAGGTCGAAACGTCAATCAATAGTGAAAGATATATACGTATAATGCGATGAGTTTGAATTATTTAATCAAGCTATTCAATCAAGAATAATAAGGTTGAAACGTGAATCAATCGTGAAAGATATATACGTATAATGCGGTGAGTTTTAATTATTTAATCAAGCTATTCAATCAAGAATGATAAGGTCGAAACGTCAATCAATAGTGAAAGATATATACGTATAATGCGATGAGTTTTAATTATTTAATAAAACTATTCAATCAAGAATGATAAGGTCGAAACGTCAATCAATAGTGAAAGGTATACACTGCAATATTTTAGAGAAACAAATACAAAAAGAAAAATTGGATCTGGGTAAGATGATACAAAAAGAAATTTAATAGAGCTGCGATGATATCATTCTATGTTAGGTTAATTCTGGCAATATTTAAGAAATTGAAGTTATATAGTAGTTGCAGGATTTAAAGTAAGATTAACCGAAGGGAATATTGCGCAGAATAGTTGTTTGTTTTAAAAAAAAGCGAGATCAATTTGTTTTGTCCAGAATGATCCAGCAGACTCTCTTCTTTCTACACACGTACAGATTTTTTCAAAAACGACTACATGAGCTTATATAGGCGTATCGCGAAGATTCCTGACAGTACCATCGTGTTTGTTGCAGGTTTCATATTTTTAGTGAGATTTTAGATTGTGAAAAAAAGGATTACATTTTTAATGACCAGCGTGGAACTAAAGACACTTTCATCACATGTGCGACTTATGTCTACAGATTTCTAAGATTAATAATCATTTTCTCAGAACATCATTTTTGCACATTAGAATTCAGATACTGTCCACTCTACTCAAAATGCATCTGATATTTTGTGCTTGGAAGATTCCGATAAAGAAAAATGTTTCTGCGAACGGTACTAGTATACCTAATGTTTAGGTGAGAAACACAAAATTCAGTAGTCCCGAACGATAGTTTCAGTACTAATTTGAGGTTGTGATCATTAAAGTACATATAAAACATGCATGAATGAGCAACTACAAATTCAGTTCGAAACATACATAGACAGAGAGTTACCTTTTATTCAAAACAAATCCCATCCTTGTAGAAAGGCTCCACGTGAAGTTAGCACATTGCCTGAAAATTTGATAGATTAGTACCATCACGCATTTGACAGGAAAAAAAACAAGCTGGAACTTCTATCACAAGAGTTTTACGGCGAACTATTTATCACTGAACATTTTTCCGATGCTTTTTAGACGTTTCACAGAAAACAGTATAGTTTTAGGTTTCAATAAACTTCAGAAAATCGAACCAAAGATGGTATCAGGCTCGTCCTGTACATAACATATATAATAAGCTACACACTAAAAAAATTGATGCTATACTGAATTTCTAAAAAAAGTTCCATCCTTACCAAGAACACTACAAATATATCCACGGTTTCGAAAACGCAATAAAAATTCTACAAAACCATTAAAGGTTCTTCCCTCGGTACACAGGACGATCCTTTTATGGTTTTGTAGAATTTTTATTGCGTTTTCGAAACCGTGGATATATTTGTAGTGTTCTTGGTAAGGATGGAACCTTTTTTAGAAATTCAGTATACCACCAACTTTTTTAGCGTGTAAAGTATAGCCATACATCATGATGCTCGTTAAGGCTACTTTAAAGTTTTTCATAAATGTTGGAAAATGACATTCCTGAAAGCCGATCTTATACATTTAATTCATACAACGCTCGAGATTGGAGAAAGAACGAGTCAGCGGAAATGTGAACCATCATCAAAATCATGAAATTTTTATTTTTTGAAAGCAAAACTTCGGAGAAGAAAATTTCGAAAAAAGAATTTCAAACAGAAAAGGGCCTTGGATCGCTTTCGAATATGGATGGCATGTGTGAATTCAAGGTAATATCCATATCCGTTCATCACTCACACTCACATTCCGTCCTAGCTTGTACTAGGCTAATTTCTGCTCAAAATGTCTTCTTTTCGATTTTTTTCCTCGAGGTTCTGAACTCATCCCGGAAATCTCATTGAGGTAATTGGAGAATTTCACCGAACATTTATCCAAATACTCTGAAAAGGATTCGCACGAAATCCTTCTCACCAAAGCTTTTACTACAGTCACTTATAACTGATATCATATGAACTTTTTTTTGATGAAATCAGAAAGAGCATTTTGTAACCACCGATAAGAAAGCTTTTCCTTTCCAGTTTAAGCAATACAGTGGTACGAGTATTCAATGAGAAGGATACAAGAATTAAGTATTATAATACTCATCTCTTACTTCACTGTACTTGATTCGTCCTTGATGGCATTTCACCTGTACCTGTCTGTATTCAAATAATATTTAATATGCACTCTTACCTTCGGAAAACAAGTGAAGTACAGGTGAAATATGAAGTCTATCAATACTTAAGAGACACTTAACTGCACGACAGTTATATTCTGTTTTTTATCCCATTTATACTCTACTGCACTCTAAAAAGTTTTTGAAGTAGATTAGGTGTCACGTTTCCTCTCTTATGCATATCCCTTTATCTTCTATATAGTAGAAAGGAACCCATTTGTGAAGAAAACACGTAGAACACATAATATGAAGAATTTGTATATTTGTAGGTTAAAAATAAACGTGATTTATGAATTCATTATCGAATAACGTGATTGATCTATTTTTTCAAGCAGCAGATGCCTTTCCACAAAAGGTAGCAGTCGAGCTCGACGATCAACTTTGGACCTATGGTGAATTGCTGTCGAATGTGACTTGTGTCGTCAGTCATCTTAAAATAGAAATAGGCCAGATTGTATTCCAATACGTGGGGCAGAGTTTCGAGATGGTATGCGGTATTTTGGGCATCATGTGCGCTGGTGGTGTATATTGTCCACTGGATCCTGGAGAACCGCTTATGTGCACTCGCTCATTAATTGACGAAATTCAAGCTCGACTTGTCCTGATACATGAAGACACATATAAAAGATTTCTGGAAATGAATTATCAACAAGCTGAAACTATGAATCTTGCAGAGATTCTGTCTATGAATACTCGTGAAGATATCTTTGAGAAAGGTAAGTTTTTTTCATCAATAAATAAGCCAACACATGTACATTTCATTTAATTAATAGAGCTGAATATTGCAAGTGAAAATTCATGCTTTATCATTTGCACCTCTGGTACTACTGGCAAAGGAAAAGCTGTTTTGCATACTCATGGAAGCTTCTTTGCAAATCTATTAGTTCGAAATAATTGGGAAAATAAATATGGTGACAAAGTTCTTCAACTAGCGGGATCATCACGGATCACTCACTTGATAGAAATCTTCTTAGCATTGACATCAAAATCAGCAGGTACACTTGTGCTTTTGCAACCCGGTAATAACTTGAATATGGATCGTCTTCATACGACTTTGAAAGAAAAACAAATCACCGTTATCTGGACAGCCTCATCGATACTTAAATTAATGATTGACAATATACAATTGACTAATAAAAAAGACAATAATACGCTTGAAACAGTTCGCCTTCTTTGTATGGAAGAAGAGCCTCCTAAAGCGGATTATCTGATCAAATTAGATTTATTTATGCCACGAGCACGTATATTCATAGTATATGGATTGAATGAATGCATGGCTGCCACGGGTTGCTATCTTGAACAAAATAATAATGAATTAACCGATGTTATGAATACCTTGTCAATTGGTAATGCACAACCCGGCTATGAATGCTTGCTTGTAAATTGTGAAAATGAACAAATTATTTCCTCATCAAACGTCGTCGTTGAGGGTGAAATACACATTGGAGGTAATGTTTTCGATTACAAAAAATGAGCATATTTTTATGTTTTATTTTTCAAAACTCACAGGTCCTGGTCTTTTTCAGTGTTACTACAATAATCCTGAATTGACCAGCAGAACACAAGTAATAATTGATGACAAACGCTTTTTTAAAACGGGCGATTTGGGTCAATATAACGCAAGAGGAGAGCTTGTACATATAGGTCGTATCGACTCTCAGATAGAAATTAATGGCCAAAAAGTGGACACTGTTGAAGTTGAAGCAACAATTTTGAATTGGTCACCAGACGATATTTCTGCGTGTCTGGTCGCCAAGTTTTCTGAAAATGACAAGGACTCAGTTGTTGCCTATATAATATCTGATAATTCACAGCTTAATACTAAATCATTACGAAAGCATTGTACAGAGCGCCTCCCTCAATATATGGTACCATCTTATTTTATTATTCTAAAAAGCTTTCCATTAAGTGCAAATGGAAAAATAGACAGAAGTCAACTACCATCACCCTTGATATTCAGTCATACACTATCTCAACAAATTCGAAACGATGAAGAGCTAACAGATGCATTGGAAGAGCAAATAAATGCTTTACAGTGTCCTTTATCTGATCAAAATACTAGTTTGCGTCCTTCCAACTACTTTTCTTCAAGTGGTATTGCCACTAATGGTGTTTTAATGAATGGCATTGGTAGTACCCGTCATGCAGAATCACTAAGTCAGCCGTCGTCTCTTGAAACATTTGCTACTAAAACCACAGAAATCAGCCAATCGAGTGATAATATGACAAATGATATCTGTTTGTGGCAAGATCCCGTGCTATCGTCTCCATCTTTTCAGTCTTCTACACCACAATCGATTGTTGCTCATAATTCTACTATTCCCGCTCGATGGGCAGCATGCGTATCAGAATTTCATTCACAGTCTGCTTTACTCTTCAAACAACAATCATTCACCTATGCACAATTAGATGATGCCTCAAAGCGAATTGCAAATTATCTTCAAAAACACTCTGAAATACCACTTGGACTTGGAATTCGCATTGGTATAGTACTACAACGTCGTCCACTTTATATAGCAACATTGTTAGCATGCTTGAAATGTGAGTGTATTTTTATACCTATTGATCCATCCTTTCCTCCTGCACGTGTTGCCGACATGCTTATGTATATACGACCTCATGTTCTGATAGTGGATGATTATAATATGAAACATCGTATTGAAATTAGTTTAACTAAAGCTCTTGATTCAGCAAGAGCCACAAAAATGCACAGTACACATGACATTGGGAACGGTGAGATGAAACCAGAACAAGAAGGTGAACAAGATGCCGACGAAGCAACAACAACAGTCGATGATGATAGACCACAAATAATTGTAATGGAAGATTGGCAAAATATTGATGCTTTATTCGAATTAATAGATGATACAACACAAAATAATCATCAGAATGAAGAAGTTGTGTTACAAACTACTATATCAGTATCAGAATCACGACGTTTGAAACTTAGAGAGCGTTCTCCTCCACCTTCGTACCCTTCTGAACTTCCTTCTACTTCCATCACTAACAACAACAGTATCATTTCCTCTGCCCCTGGTTTTTCTTCTTCTTCTCTTGCTTACTTATTATGTACTTCGGGTACTACGGGTGGTATTAAAGCTGTACGTCTTTCTCATGGTCATGTAACACGTTATGCCTATGCCTATCATTCGACACTTGGTCTACATGCCGGCGATATCTTTGCGTTGTCAGCTTCATTTTCTTTTATTGGACATATGAAACAACTATGGGCATCATTATTGAATGGTTTAACAGTAGCATTGCTTGTAGAAGAAGAACAAGCATCGACACTTGCTTTAGTTCGTGCTTTGCAACGTTATAAAGTCACTGTGTTAGACTTAGTGCCACCTCGTCTCAAAGAATTAGTGCATGATTGGCCCTTATTACCAACGGATTCTGTCAATTCATTGCGTATGTTAATTTTAAGTGGAGATGCCTTGCCCACACAATTAGTACGTCAATTTAAACAAGCTTTAGCACGTCCTATTCAGCTCTGGAATTGTTATGGTCAAACCGAAAGTTGTGGAACAACAATAGCGTATCATGTGCAAAATGAAGATGCAAATCTCCAAACATCTTCTACAGCTTCTTTTTCTGCAGATCATCTACAATCACCCGATGCTGTTGATTCCACAACTTCTTCCGGTATTCTGCAACGAGCACTTGTCCCTGTTGGTTATCCGCTACCTGGTACGACTTTATATCTTATCGATCCGAATAATACTACACCTACTATCGTTCCGGAAGGTGAACCCGGTGAATTAGCGATTGCGGGTGCCCAAGTTTCATTTGGTTATTGGAATTCCGAGACAAATAAACATTGTCATGACGCTGAAACACGTGCCTACGTGGTGGATCCATTCGGTACACTCATGTCCTACACAGGAAAATTATTACGTACTAACGACTTATGTACACGTACACCAGATGGTTGTGTCACTTTACTGGGACGAAATGATAATATTTTAAAAATACGTGGTATACGTGTGCATCCCTCCGATATCGAAAATGCACTCTTACAACATCGTTATGTAAGTGAAACAGTTGTATCGATGTTATCGTTAGATTTAGGACAAAATACAGATGAAGTTTTGGTGGCTCATATTACATTACAACCTCAAATATCTTTTTCTGAACATGATACATCCAATAATTATTCTTTAGCGGATAAACGTTTAGAAGATGATTTACGTATGCATTGTAAAAATTTGTTACCAACAGCATTAGTACCTTCGTTTTTTATTATCCATCATAATTCCAAACTTCCCAGAACAACCACAGGAAAATTGGATCGCAAACTTAACTCTTATATGCTCGAATCGGGTACTTTAGCTCAGTTTTCACATAGAAATACACCGTCAAACGCAAATGCATCTCATTTTGGTCCAAACTCACCATCATCTATATCGTCGTCCTTACCTATTACGTCTCTGTTATCACGTGATACACCGGATACCGATTCATCGTCTATGATTAAACAAGACAGCCAATCATTCAATGCATATTCTGGTACCAATGACGTGCAATCACCATATACGCATACAACATCCTCACAACTTGTTACTGATTCAACTTTATCACCACACCCACCTTCACTGGAAACACCAATGTCTCATACTGTGACTTCAGTTGCAGCTACCACAACTTCTTTGATTGATTCTTCACGCACACTTTTGCTTGTTTTTGGTCCAGTGGATGCTCCTACGTTTACCTTACCACTTTGTATTTTAACATCTGCTGATTCAGATCAACTTCCTTTACGCATTGATCCTGTTCTTATAAACCAACTCAAACTCAATTTGCCCTCCTCCTCATCATCATCATCAATACAAACATCTTCTTCTCCGCCGATTACACTCGAACGTGTTGCTGCTCTTGTTTCGGATCGTTTTTTTAAACATTTAAATGTCTCGGAAGATACACTTGCCTCGGTTTTTGACGAATATGATACAGAACAATTTCAGCTATCAGCGAGTTCGGTGGATTTTTTCAGTTGTGGAGGTCATAGTTTATTAGCGAGTGGTTTGAATGTACGTATCTATGCGGATATCGGTGTAACATTGACAGTTAAGGATATTTTTGAATGTTCAACATTAGAAAAGATTGTAGCGAAAACATGGGAATATGTCAAAGAAGACAATGGCGAACTAGAAACCACTACTACTATTCCTGTAACGAATGCAGCGTCAACAACCACCACTAACAGCGCTACTAACAAAATTTCTTTCGCATCTTCATCGTTGTCGTCTTTCCGTCCACCGTTGATTTCGATTTCTCGTTCGACATCTTCCGCATTTCCTCTTTCTAATACGCAATTACGTATGTATTTTGCAGAGCGTATGCAATCCAATTCTTCTCCAGGTTTGCTCAATACAATACGTGTCTTTCGACTTTCATCGACTTCGATCACGGCGATATTGAGAATTAAAGCTTTACGTTTAGCTGTCAAATTACTGTTAGAACGACATGAAATTTTACGTGTATCATTTCAAACCGATTCTTCGACAGGATCGATTGTTCAAGTTCCACTAGTCTGCCCATTACCTGACGATCTTATCGAACACGTTGTACAGAGTGCTGATTTCAGTGGTTATGACTATGAAAACGCCATGATGCAAACAGAGCATGCAATTAATTTGATGTTAGTGACATCATTCGACTTATCGACTGCTCCGTTGATACGAATACGTGTATGGAAATTACCACCTAGATCATCGTCGACTGGCAGGATGTCGTCCTATATTTTTGCAACTTGTATTCATCATATGATTACTGATGGTTGGTCTTCCACCTTATTTTTTCAAGAACTTTCTACTTTGTATCGTTCGGTCCTCTCAAAAAATGAAGCATCCGTCCTCTCATCGGTTCCATACCAATTCGCCGATTATGTATCTTGGCAAAATTCTTTCTTGTCATCTTCTCTGCTAGCTACAAAACAATTAAATTTTTGGACACAAGAACTAGCGGATTTGTCCCCATTAAAACTACCCACCGATTTTCCACGACCAGAAATTCCTACCTATAATGGATCTGTTCATCGATTTGTGCTACCTGGTCCATTAGTGGCTTCCCTACATACTTTTGCAACACAGGAACGTAGTTCATTATTTTCACTCTTAATGTCAACTTTTCAGCTCATGCTATCACGATATGCATCTGATCAAACTGATATATGTTGTGGAACCATCTTAGCGAATCGACCGCTAAAAGGTACAGACCGTATGTTCGGTTGTTTTATTAATACGGTACCCATCCGCACACAAGTCAATCCATCGCTAACATTTCCACAACTTTTAAGAGCGGTATCCAAAAGTGTACTACAGGCGCTAGATAATAAAGATGTTCCATTTGAAAAAATTGTAGAAGCCATACAGAAAAATGAACCTGAGACTCGAGATCCGTCTCGTCATCCATTGTTTCAAGTGATGCTAGTATTACAAAATCGTGCATATACCGATTCATCAATGTTGAATCTGACAGGCATGAATGAAGAAGAAATTGAAACACCAGTGAAACATGCAAAACTAGACTTAGGTGTCGTTGTGGATTATATATTACAACCGATGCGAACTGAGAAAGATCGAGAAGAAGAACAAGAAGAACAAGAAGAAGAACAAGAACAAGAACAACAAGAACAAGAAGATGCGAATACGTTCTCTGCATCTTTCAACAATAGGGATTTATTATCGAATAGGAGACCATCTATGCTAAAAGGACGACGTGGTACTATTATGCCTTTATTGTCTTCTTCATCGTCTTTCGCAACTATATTACGTCGCCGATTTTCAGCGAATCTTATCCATCCAAAAGACGATCGTAAAGAAATATTAGCATCTTCTATTTTCTCATCGGCTTCTTTGTCTAGAAAACCTTCTATAATCCCAGGATCTTCTTGGTCTAGAAAATCTTCCATAATTTCAGGAGAAAAAGGTCTTATGGTATCGATGGAATATAATTCCAAGCTATGGCGTTCAACAACGATTGTTCGTATGGCAGAATGTTGGCTCGTCTTATTGCAAGAAATTTTAACTGTATCATCGACTACCGAAATTGGGGCACTTCGAATGCTACCATTTTCAGAATATCAATCGGTAGTGTATGATTTTAATCATACACAAAAACCATATCCTGCATTATCGACATGGACACAGTTGTTCGAACAGCAAGCTGCTACATATCCTCTAAATGTTGCCGTATGTCACGGTTCACAAACTGTAACATATCAACAATTGGATGCACTCTCCAATCGATTAGCACATGCATTACGTGCATATTATACTGCTAAACGCGGTGTTGCTCTACCAATAGATTCTGTGGCAGGCGTGTGTATTGTACCATCTTTATTGTCAGTTGTATGTATTGTTGCAGTATTAAAAGCTGGCTGTGCGTATTTAGCACTCGATCCATCGCATCCAGCCTCACGTCGTCAGCAAATGTTGGTTACATCCGATGCCAAACTTCTATTATGTATTGGTGAACAAGGAATCGATAGTATACCAGCATTAACGAATAGTATTCTAACCATATCATTCGAATCGGCTGCCATTTCTACTGTTGAAAAACAATTTTTTTCATATTCTTCTTCTCCATTACATTTTCCAAAACATTCTTGGCCTCATCCGCGTTCCTTGGCATATGTGGTATTTACATCTGGTTCCACTGGTGAACCAAAAGGTGTCTGTGTTGAACATCGTGCACTGTGTAATGTTGTTTCCAATTCAATTTTGCAAAGTGTGAATGCATCGATGCGTTTATTAAATATCCTTGGGATGACATTTGATGTGGCCATCATGGAATGGGCTCTAACATTAGCACATGGTGGCACATTTTGTATTTTAGAAAATGCGAATGGTAATACACGTGCTTTATTGGGAAAAGCGTTTGCTGAAGCCGTACAGCAATTTCAAATCACCCATCTTTATTGCACACCGGCTACTCTAACTACTGTACCACAAGATGCAGAAACACTACAAATGCTACGATCACTGATTGTATGCTCTGTGGGTGGCGAAGCATGTCCCGAATGGCTTGTGAGAAAATGGGAAAACCATATCCCACAACTGACAAATGGATATGGACCAACAGAAACTGCGATTGCTTGTACGTATTTTAATTTCGATGGAAAACAATCTCATATACATCCGATTGCTACAATTGGTTATCCTTTGCCTAATTATCAACTGTATATATTGGACGGATGTTTACAGCCAGTACCAATTGGTGTAATTGGTGAGCTTTATATTAGTGGTGCTGGTGTAGCACGTGGTTATATAGGAAAACCTGATATGACAGCACAAAGATTTGTTCCATGTCCATTTGGTAACGCAACAGATGAAGAAGGTCGTATGTATAAAACGGGTGACCTAGTGAAATGGCAAGAAGATGGTGCAATTTTATATATAGGACGTAGTGATAATCAAGTTAAAATCCGTGGTGTACGTATTGAATTAGAAGAAGTCGAAATTGCTGTAGAAAAAATAGAAGGTATAAAGCATGCCGTTGTTTTATTTTTACCTTCTACGACCCGTCCAAACGCGAAACCTGACGCATTACACGCATTTTGTGCGGTTCATACCGATTCAACACTCACTGCACGTGATATTGAAGTATCTGTCAAAGCACGTTTACCATCTGCCTTTATGCCAGCCTCGTTTCGCATTATAGAAATACCGTTTACAAATACTGGTAAAATTGATAAAATTGAAGTGAAAAAAATGTATATGAGAGAATTAGCAGAACGAGAAGAAAAAATAGAGCAACAGCAACAACAAAGAAAAGAAGAACAAAAATCAGAAACAGGTGTTCATTTACCAGTTACAGCAACACGTATTGCAACTGCTCCTGTTGTTTCGACTCCTGGCACTAATGTGACTGCATCACCTGCTGCTCCCTCATTCTCTGCATCTTCCGCTGCGTTTTCTCTACTTTCGTCTTGGCGTCGGCTTTTGTTGCATCCAGATATGAGCACATCCGACAATTTCTTTGAGTTTGGCGGCAATTCGATTTTAGCTGTGCAAGCTTATGATGCTTTACCAAGTGAATGGAAGACCGGTGTCATTTCATTGAAACTACATGATTTATTTACGTATACCAGTGTAGAATCCATTGTAAAATTTGTGGAAAAACGTATGGGTATATCATCAACAGTAGCGCCTGTTGTAGTAACTACTGCAAATTCAGCGAATGCACCAGCTTTACTTATACCTATATCTGCTGTCTCAACTTCTGCACCCGTTGTCGAAGTCAAACCTATATCGCCTGCATCTTCAGCACAGCCTCAAGCTCAATTTACTTCGAATTTGATTGTGGCCCCTCCTTCATCTTTTGCTGCGCCTTTGTCTCGTGATATTGCAATTATTGGTATGTCGGGTATTTTTCCATCGGCACGCTCTGTGGATGAACTTTGGTCACTCATACTGTCGGGTGGTAGCGGTTTTGCATTATTTTCATCGGCTGAACTACTAGATGCTGGCATTCCTTTAGAATTGCAATCACAACCTAATTTTGTCCCAACGATAGGATGGATGGGTTCAGTCAATTTGCACGGTTTTGATGCCTCTTTCTTCAAATATAGCTTCAGCGACGCATCACTCATGGATCCACAACAGCGTATTTTCTTACAAACTGTTTGGCAAGCTGTGGAAGATGCGGGTTATGCACCAGATACTCTTGCACAAAAATTTGTCACGGGTATTTTTGCAGGTGTCGGTGCCAACACTTATATGGGAGATGGACAAATTTCAACGAATCCTGCAGATTTTCCGAAAATTCAGGCACAAAGATTAGGTAATGCTGTCGATTTCTTATGTTCTCGTGTTGCTTATAAACTAGGTTTAACTGGACCTGCAATTACCGTGCAAACAGCATGTTCTTCATCGTTGGTCGCTGTACATACTGCGTGTCAGAGCTTAATTTCAGGTGATTGTGATATGGCATTAGCTGGTGGTGTCTCATTTGGCACTCTACACCCAACAGGTTATCTTTATCGAGAAGGTACTATTTTGTCTCGAGATGGTAAAATTCGTCCTTTTGATGCGAATGCATCTGGTACAGTACGTGGGCAAGGTTGTGGTGTTGTCTTACTCAAACCACTCGCCGCAGCATTAGGTGATCGTGATCATATTTATGGGATCATACGCGGTTCTGCAGTAAATAATGATGGCTCAGATAAAGTTTCGTTCACTGCACCTTCCGTACAAGGACAAATACATTGTATTAAACGTGCACTCGAACATGCACAAGTCGAACCTGAATCGATTGGCTATATGGAATGTCATGCTACTGGTACCGCTGTCGGTGATCCCATTGAATTTTCTGCTCTGGAATGTGCTTATCGTTCCTTGTCCAAACCAGACCCTCCAAGTCAATACTGTGCATTAGGGGCTTTAAAATCTTCCATTGGTCACTTAGACGCAGCTTCCGGTATTGCAGGTTTTATGAAAGCATGCCTCACAATTCATCATGCTATGATTCCGCCATTAGTCTGTCATGAAATTCTACATCCAGATATTAATTTAGAAGAAAGTCCATTTTTTATTCCGAAACAAGCCAAAGCATGGTCTTCTCACAGTGTACGACGTGCCGGTGTATCCAGTTTTGGTATTGGTGGGACGAACGCACATGTCATTTTAGAACAAGCACCATCTTCTTCGACGCAAAGCGAAAAAGTTGTGAACAACAAACTTCCATATCTTTTTTCTCTCAGTGCATCATCGCCAAGTGCTTTATTGGCGCTATTATGTTCGTTCCAGTCGAAATTTACTTGGTTTATTTCTAATGGTGCGCATCCACGTTTATCAGATATCGCATATACTCTACATACAGGACGCTCCACAACATTCCATCGTTCTACATGTCGTACATCATTTGTCGCCTCTACTTTACAACAAGCTGTAAGAGTGATGAAAGATTGTATAAAAATGTGGAATGCAAAAGAACAAGAGCAACAACAATTGCAGGAAGAGAGAGAAAAGTCACGGCAAATACCTAGTTTTCCAAATATGTCGATTTTATCCTCTCCATCGTCTCCTTCTCTCGTTTTCTTATTTCCCGGTCAAGGTGTACAATATATGAATATGACACTCGCACTTGCCTCACAATTTCCATTATTTCGTATGCATTTAGACAGTCTAATCTCTCATGTAGCCATATATTATACGGGAAAATACGGTTTGCCTGTAGAATTAACAGCACAGACACTGTTTAGTAATCCACAACTTTCTTCCATAACCGCCCCACATTCTGCTTCTCCGTGTATATTCATACAATTATCGTTATTCTTAGTCGAAATTGCTTTGTCACGTACGTTTCGTTCGCTCGGCGTTCAACCGTCGATTTGCATTGGCCATTCATTAGGTCAATATGCTGCCTGTGTATGTGCGGGCATGTTTACATTTGAGCAAGGTTGTGAGCTCATAGTGGAACGTGCACGTTGGATGGATGAACTGTGGAGAGAACAACAAAAAACCAATGAAAAAGGTGCGATGTTGTACGTACGTGTATCTTCCTTGAAGATGGAAGAATTATTAACCGCATTTCATTCGTCCCCAACAGCTTTCTCACCTTCTTTATCTATCTCAGTGGCAGCTGTAAATTCTCCCAACCATTGTACCGTATCGGGTTTAGCAACACAAATAGCAGAATTACATGCTTATTTAACTACACAACAAGTAAAATGTGGCCGATTAGATGTACCCTTAGCATTTCATTCACCACAGCTCAATTCTGCCTTGACACGTTTTGAAATGACGTTACAAAAAATATGTCCCACGGTTCAAGAAGCATCTGTCCCTGTCATATGTAATTTGACCGGTACTCCTCTCACTATTTCCAATGCACGTAATCCACAGTATTGGTTACGTCATAGTCAAGAATCGGTACAATTTCAAAAAGGTGTGGAAACGATTGTAAGGGACAAATCAGCGCAGTGGGACAAAATGAAGCAAAGTGTGAGCTTGATATGGCTCGAAATGGGTGTAGGAAGAACACTATTAACGTTTGCTAAACAAGAGTTTCAGCGTATACAACAAGAAATTACTGCCAGAACAGTAGAGAACGAGGAAAAACAACAAAAAACAACTGAAAAATCCACGGATTCCACAGCTTTTCTATGGAATGGTATTTTACTATTACCTTCACCATCTCAATCAGATTCTGTCTCTGTTGTGCAAGAATCAATGAATGAATCCTATTCATTTTTATCTGCCGTTGGTGAGATGTGGAATGCCAACGTAAAAATTGACTGGGACGAATTTTATGTATGGTATGCCCAGAACGCTCAATCTCGACCATCGCGTATTTCTCTACCTACTTATCCGTTTCATGCGGATCAACGTGTTTTTATAAAAGAACCGCCTCATTCCATCAGTATCAATAGTAATACAACAGATTGTTCATGCTCATTTCCCGTTGCTTCCGTGTCATCGAATTCCACACCACTTATGCCCCATACACGTTTATCCGTATCGCCCTTACCATCTCTACTATCACCTTCTCCTCCTTCTTCTGCGAGTTCCACAACTTCATTTCTTGTGTCGATCTTATCGGATATATTTTCGGAACAATTAGGTACTCGCACAGAAGCTCATTCGGATTTTTTCGATATGGGTGGAGACTCTTTCTCAGCCGTACAATTGTTAGATGCACTTAGAAATCGATTTCCACAACTTGCAGAGGCACCACTCAGCTCTTCAACATTGTTGTCTCATTCCACACCATATAAATTAGCATTATTATTACAAAATAAGCATGGTATTCAAGTTTCCGCAAGTTCTGAAAATGATTTGATTATGCAGACATCTATGAATACATCAAGTGATTCGATATATTCGAAGAATGATATACATAGTGGTCATGTACATCGTACCTCATCGATATCATGCTCAATTTCAAAAGATGATAGTAGTATCATGTTATCTCCTACATCTGATACATCACGATGTGCAACTGATTCGATAGGATCGTTTCATTTATCAGATTCGCTTTTCAAATCTCTTCCTCCTGCGATGACTCTGAATACAGATTGTATGGTGACGTTACATACTGCACTAGTTTCTCCTTCGTCACTTCTTCTCCTCATTCATCCTATTGGTGGTGAAATTTATAATTATCGTTCGTTTCTACACTTTCTACCATCCCAAATGCGTGATCATATTACGGTATGTGCATTTCGGGCTTGTTCTTTAGATGGGACGAATCAACCATTTTCATCGATTCCAGAACAAGCCAAATCTTATCTGTCTCATTTATATGCGTATCTTGAAAAACATAAACCAAATTGGCCGGGGTATATTTTTATTGGTGGGCATTCCTATGGTGGTACAGTCGCTTATGAAATGTGTGTTCAACAAAGTCAGTTTCCTCCTACTACGTTACCTTTGTTCTCATTTTCACATTTATTTCTTCTTGATTCGCCTCATGCTGACTGCATAAGTTCGTCCGAATCTCTTTCTGATGCAGCCGGTGTCATAGCATATATCGCAGGTGATCGTTTAAAACGTAGTGCAACCGAACTGAGAGAACATGCGAAAACTAGTGGAATGGATATTTTGTCCTTTGTCAAATCTTTAGATCCACAACTCGAAACTATGAATGAATCTGTGATCAAAACATGGATTGCACATGAATGTGCATTACGTACTTATGTTCCATCGGAGAAGAAGTTGTGGAATGGACCGATCTTATATGTAAAACCATCTCGTGTATACAAACAATGTTCATTGACATGGAATGAAGCGTGGGACAAATATATATTCGAAGGACAAATGACCGTTCTGCAAGTGGAAGGGGACCATTTGAGCATGATGAAACCTCCTTATGTTAAACAAGTTATGGAAATTATTGTGGACAAGATGTTAAAAAAATATATTTCTTAGAAAAATTGACTTTTCTAATTTCTGTTCATTAGGTATGGATTGTATGAAAGTTCGTACTTGAACGGTTACACTACACTTTTATACAAGGCAATTTTTTTCAAAAATAAAGTCAATAAGAATTTTTGTAGTAAGCTTACGAGGAAAGAGACATCATTTTTTGTATTTATTTGCTTTTTATAATTTGAAAGGAAATAAATAACAAGAAAAAAGGCAATTAATAATTGTTTTCAAAAGACAAAAAAATAATATTGAGTCGATGAAGAACGCGAGATCTTTTGAATTTTTCTTCTTCAAACAATTTTTTGTTTGTTGAGGACGATGTAGACGTCCATGACTCATATATAAAGCTAACAGAAGGTTGGAACTTGACTGACAAATAGATATCCACACCCACACCATCACCGACACTCTCACTCCCACAGTCACTTTCAAGATATTGTTTTTGTTTGCAAATGTAATGCTTTAAGAATATACAGATGAATAAACAATAATCTTCAAAGTTATATATTATGTTGACTATGAACACTAGGTTAATAAAACGAAAAAAAATAGATTAAAACGAGTTAAACAGCAACAAGACAACAATAACAGCAAAAAAAGCACAAGGTATGCCGTTAGTAAAATAAATCATAACAACATCGAAAATAGTCATGGTAAACGAAATAAATAAGAAAGAACATTTAAAATGATGAGATGCGGGTCAGTTCTTTCAAAAGTGTTTTAAAATTGATAATAATAATGACTGAAACATTGACAAGCAGTCCTAAAAACATTACCTTTCTAGAATAAAAAACTGCACAATAAGATATGTTATATATTGGATTAGAGAGAAAAATCAATCAAAACAATACAGCTAGTATTTGTCTGCGTTATTCGTTTTATCCTTAACTTACTATGAGTATATGAATGAGGATATGAGCGCTAATAAGAATGGAGTCTCCTCTTCATCTACATCCTTACTCACATTCTCATCGAACAAATACAACTCATTTGATGCTAGAGTCTACTGTACAGACAAATACCATAACTAGATGTATAGATTTCTTTAGTTTAGTTGAAGAAATAATTCACACTTACCAACAAGATATATTCCAACTTCTAGAGTAAATTCGATATTTTAGACAGCTGTAGTGGCTTGTGGTTGTTGTCCTCTTGACGCTCCAGCCACAGTGGCCAACCTCTCTTCATGACTTCGTGCATTTCCTTGTAACTTTCGAAAATGCATCAATACTAATTGTTTGACTTCGTTTCGAAATGCTTTGGATGTGGTAATGTAAATATAGAATGTCGTGCTATACATCAAATACGCCAGAAACGACATCGTAATGAAATTAAGAAATGCCTCGATTTGTTTTCGTTCAGTAGATTTACTCGCTGCCATGCTTGCAGTCGCTTGATTATAAATTTGCATGATTGGAAATGGGAACGTGCAGACAACGTAGACTAATACTTCTACCAGTACAAGTCTAACTAATGAACTATCTCGTTTATTCAAACGATTATTATTATTATTATTATTATTGTTGTTGTTGTTGTTGTTGTTGTTGTTATTGGTGCCAAGTGGTTGAACCCGTGTGCGTAGTTTACGTAGATTATTCGTAAGCAGAATACCCAGGACAATCATTAGAAGAAGAGGTAACAAGCTACCAGCAATTGTGCCATAAATGACGAATACTTGTCCGAAGACTCCATACACACCACATCGTCCACCCTCGATACTTTCCCAAATGAGAAGTTGACCGGAAAGTACACTCCAAACGACTACCATAACAGCAATCCCACGATATGCAATTCGTGGTCGACTCCAAGCTCGAATAGAGACGTTGGCACTAGATACAGCATAACGATCAGCACATCTTAGTACAAGTATAAAACGAAAGCACTGGGCGCATGTCTGAAGAAGAAAGCCACGAATACGACAAAATACTAAGGAATTGTTTGTCAGATCGTAATTATTGAGTGCCACCAGAATTGGAACTATACTCCAGTTGGCACCCATTAAACAAAAAAACGACGAAGCTATCAGATAGATTCCACAAGGATTTGCTCGAAACTTTTTGTGTAGATAAATTACAGCTATGCACAAATTTCCCACATTACCAAAAGCAAGAATTACGGGAAGTACATAACGAGTAATAGCTGACTGAATAAGAACAAGTGTAGAACCTGTCGACATGATTTTGAACTCGCCGATGTGTATATAAATAATATGAATTATGTTAAATCGAAGAAAATAATTCCAAGAATGTTTCAGCAGAACTGGTTGAAGCAACGTTGATGAAAAAAAAGTGACAAAATTGTAAGTCGAAAGAAACGTTTATATACTATACATAAGAAGATATGAATGACGTCTTAAAAAGTAACTTCATGACTTCCGATATCAATCAAATGAGGATATCTATATATGTTCATATCAAATTAATAGAGGAAGTGATAGGATTACTTTTTAAAAAATCATGCACTTTTTCTCAAACGCAATTCATAAATTATCTTCTCATTTAACAAATTTTTGTTTTGGAGTATCAGTAACGTACAAGAACAGATGCACTGAAAAACAGAAGTGTAGAATAGTAAACTCTCTGAACGAATTGTGAACAGTTGCAAATGTGAGCAAAAAAGCTCGCACCAGTTCTTTCACTGATATCATCTCTTGTATAAGTCATGTTCAGATCGTTTCATATTATGGTGGATAGCTCACGAAGAGCACTATCCACAGCGTAGTTTCATACTTCCTTATCTAAGTTTAGATGAAATGCTAAGAAAACATCTCTTTTCCTTAAATATAGAAAAATTATTCGTCATCGAAATTTCAACATTTTTTACTTTTTCATCTTAAAAATATTTAAGTTCACAGATAGTATTTTTGAAAGTTAATGACGAATAATGTTAAGTATTATAATTCAATATTCCAGTCGTTCACCGTTACAATCGATAAGAGGCGAGCATCTGCTGTTCATCATAACAATATCATTATTTTTACCTTCTTCCACTAAAAAGAGTTCAAGTTCATCTGATATTGAATGATTCTCTTTTTTCAACATTACGTTTTAAGATTGATCACAAATTCTCCATCGAACTAACGTCTAAGCTGCTGGATGGCCACTCCACTAGCTGTGGCATATTCTTACCAATCAATAGTCGACAAATAGTACTAGTATGTTTGGGATCCTTTCTCTGCGGTAAACGCTAATTTCGACGAGGTGTCTTTAAAAAAGAACTAAACAGTACGGATAAACTATTTGCATTTATTACTGACGTCTAGCAACAGGAAAAATATTATTTATAAGTTTATAAACCTAATATTGATTGTTAAGGTTGCATCGCAATGTCTCACAACTCAGTACATCTTTCATACTTATAGAACACTAAAAGGAACTTTTTCACGATTTTTAGGTACAAATTCTAATTCATTATTAGGATTTCTTATCCAACGACAAAATGTTATTTCGGGAAAGTTGAACTAAAGATGCATCAGTAAATATTGTATGTATGAAATCATCATCCATATGATCTTTAATCGACTACATACATCGTTTTTTCATCAGTTGTTAACATATAAGTAGCTTGTAGTAAGACATTTCTATAATTGTATTCGTAAAGATGGCGACTTATTGATGATTTAAATACTAGTTTTCACTTCTATTCGATAAACTTTCTTCTATTTCTTTATCGCAAAGCAAACAAAACATGCTTTTACACGCTCGATATATACTAGTAGTATGTTTATCGACAATTCATCGATAGAAAAAAGAACTGTCCAATTGCTTCTACTGACCAGAAAAATGTTTACAAAAATAATGAATTTGATACACACTTTTTCTCTAGATCAGCATTATCGATCCCCAAATGATGTATATATTGTGTGTGATGGTACACTCTGTATTTGCAGATTTGTTATTCTGTATCTATTTTTTTTCTAGTTATAGAGATTGACGTAGGTTACTAATAACCGGAAAGAAGAAATTATAGGATCAAAAGACAATGTATGATTTGCATTTGAGAAAATATAAGTGACGTCTTACAAAGTAACTTCATCACTTCCGATATCAATCAAATGAGGATATTGTAACGATAATGATATCGTTCATCTCTTTCTGTTCTTTATCCTCTCACCTCTATATCATACTATCTCCGGGTCATATCTCTCTTTCCTCTTCTCTATATAAGCGCGTGTCTTATTGTGAAAGAGGGACATTCTGGTCATGTAGAGTAGTCAAT